AGGAAAGTGTATATGTTTGGGGTTAGGGTTTAGGGTTTAGAGGGATATACTTTCAGTTCTATAAAGGGTGATACTATCTCTAAACCCTAAACCCCCCCCGCCCAAAAAAAAAAAAAAAAATGGTGTAACCCTAAACCCTAAAAACCCTAAACCCTAAACCCTAAAAACCCTAAACCCTAAACCCTAAACCCTAAACCCTAAACTACTCACTCAGCTACCAAGAGACCACGGAGTTTCCTCTGTGGCGCGGGAACTCCCGGCATCCGCCGCGGAGGACTTGGCTGAGCTTTGGCCTTGCTGGTGATCACCTGTCTAAGGTTGAGTTGAGCCCATGGGTAGGGTTTAGGGTTTAGGGTTTAGGGTTTAGGGTTTAGGGTTTTGTGGTTTGGGTTTTGGTTTCATGGGCCCTTAGGGGATTCTAGGGCCCCTTAAGGGTGTATATATATATATAGGGTATATTACCAGGTATATAGTAGGTATATTAGGGTCCCAGGGTTAAGGGCCCATACTGGGGGCCCATGGGTTCTACCTTAGAACCTGTCTTTCTTCAGGGCTTGGGGCTTAGTAGGGAATGGGGGAATGGATCCCTATGATAGTCTCTTAAGGTCCCTTACAATAGTCCCCCTATAACCCATTCCCCCATTCCCTACTAAGCACCAGACTGTCTTTCTTCGGGGCTTGGGGCTTAGGGCTTTTTGGGCTTTAGGGGCTTAGGGGTTTGGGGTTTAGGGTTTAGGGGTTTAGGGGTGTAGGGGTTTAGGGGTTTAGGGGTTTAGGGGCTTCAGCTTTTTTGGGGGGTTTAGGGATTTAGGATGTCAGGGTTTGAATGGATTTCGAGTTTGGGCTTCTTGGGACCCATGCGGTGCCTGGTTTAGGGTTTAAGGTTAACCCTAAACCCTAAACCCGGCTTGAGGTTGTAAGGTTTTGGGGTTCAACTGGGTGTGTTATTTAAGCCTTCGGGGCTTTAGGGCTATGGGGTGTTGGTTTTTCGGGGCTCCAAGTCTAAGGATCTAAGGTTTAAGGTTTTGGAAACTGCAAGCCTTCGGGGGTGCCGGGAGAGACGTAGAGGATGCGAGAGGTTGAAGGTCGCCTTCACTTCTACTGGTTGCTTCAAACAACCAATGCAGGGGCCTCACAGTTTGCATGGGGTTTGGGGATGCGTTATCTCATTATATGGAACCCTGAGGATGAACTTTCAGGCTCCTATTATAGCCTCGTACAGACCCTCAACGACTCCGCCCTTGCCCTTAAGTACCATAACCTACTTATTCTAGGGTCTTGCTGTAACCACTAAGATAGGGTTTGGGGTTGAGGGTCTAGGGCGTAGGGTTCTAGTGATAGGAAGAACAGGGCCCCGGCGACAGAGACGGAGTCTGAGGTAGTTTCAGTTCGTCCTCCCCCTCGGCACCCGGACCCTGCCTTCGCGGACGTATCCACGTCATCCATGGCAGCATCAGCAATGTCGAAGCTGTCATCCTCAAACGTGTCGAAAGTGTCTTCATCCTCCTTTTGCTCGGCTGCCTCCTTGGCTGCCAAACTGCTACTAATCATGTTCTTGCTAGGATTGTATATGTCCGTACACTGAACATATTATAGTCTTCTGTGCTTCTGGGTAAATAAATACACACATATACATACATATATGTATGTATGTATATATGTATATATGTATGTATGTATGTATGTATGTATGTATGTATGTATGTATGTATGTATGTATGTATGTATGTGTGTATGTATGTATGTATGTATTGATGCATGGATGGATGTATGTATGTATGTATGTATGTATGTATGTATGTATGTATGTATGTATGTATGCATGGATGTATCTTTGCATGTGTGTATGCCTACATAATCAATACACATGCATATGCAAATACATACACATACACATAGGCATATGCAACAACGGATGTGTGTTACATACAGACTCTGTATGTATGTATATATATATAACATCGTTGTAGTGATTTCAGAGTCTATCACTGCTGATCGCTTTGCGACTGTTATTGATTCTGCAACTCTGATGAATCACGTGCTCGGACAGTGATTCTTTTGTTGAGCTCCTTCAGCTTTGCAGCTGTGCCTCAAGCGAGAGAGAACTTGGATGTACAGGCAAAGGTCCATTACAAGTAGACCCACATTATATGGAGCGCTATGCACAGACACCGAGTCACTATGAACCCTACAGCCAACCATGCTTCATACAGATGGAACGCGTCCCGATCGATGGCACAGCAATTTCTCCAAACATGCTCCAACCTCCGATGCCCATCAAGCCCCGAATCCTACCACCCTCATAGTTTGGAACCAGAAGCACCAACAACCCTAAACCCTAAAATGAAAACCCTAAAACATAAACTCTAAACGCTGAAACCTAAACCCTATGACCTAAAACCCTAACACCCTATAACACCCTAAAGCCCCAAACCCTAAAACCCTAAACTCAAAGCCCTAACCCTAAACCCTAAACCCTAAACCCTAAACCCTAAACCCTAAACCCTAAACCCTAAACCCAAAATCACAGGTCCCCGTCGCAGACTTCTCCTCGGCCTTTAGGGGCGCCGTCTTCGGCCGGGGCACCAGCAGCTTGATCCTCGCAGGGCTTTCGGGTTGAGGGCTCGGGTTTAGGGTTTAGGGTTTAGGGCCGTTTAAAGTTTAGGGTTTAGGGCCGTTTAAAGTTTAGGGTTTAGGGTTTAGGGCCGTTTAGGGTTTAGGGTTTAGGCTTTCGGGTTGAGGGTTAGGGCTTTCGGGTTTAGGAAACTCGGGGTTTAGGGGTTTCGGGCTTTCGGGTTCGGGTTTGGAGTTAAGGCTTTAAGAGTTTAGGGCTTTAGGAGTTTAGGCTTTTAGGGCCCGGGGTTTAGGATCTGGGGTTAGGGTGTCGGGCGTCGGGTTGCTGCCTTTTCTTTACATTGATTATTAAGTATTGGAACTGTAGATTCCGAAAAAAGAGACTGGCTACATGTTAACAACCCCAAACAGCAAATATAATGGAGACTTCAGGAACACATTGCTTTAGGCTGTTGGACGTCGGGGTTCGTAGTTTATCCTGAGGGCTGTAGGATCTAGGTGCGGATACAAACTGACGGTGTGAGCCGAGGTTCGGGAAGTTTCTTTATCCCCAAGACTTTTAATCAGTTTAATTGCTTGGGAATGCTGGGTTTGCCGATGTAAAACTTGGGGCAGAGAGCTCTTTTTGCTGGCTCTTGGCTGACAACCCTAAACCCTAAGCCCTAAACCCCTAAACCCCTAAACCCTAAACCCTAAACCCTAAACCCTAAACCCCTAAACCCCAAGCCCTAAACCCCTTGGGTTTGGGCGGCTTCTGCCGTAGTCGTTGAGTCGTAGTGAGCCGAGATGCAAGGAGCCGGGCTCGAAGGTCTGCATGGCCACCGGCCATTGCCCCAGCCCCAGGCTCCGGGTCTATCTATATGTGTTTTTTTTATGCATGGATGTAGGTATGTGTGTATATAAATATATACACACATATCTTATGTCTGCAAGTAAGTATGTTTATATGTATATGTGTATGTATGTGTGTTTGTATGTGTGTGTGTATATATATATATGTATATGTATATACATATATATATATATATGCAGGTGTGTATGTATACATACCCTACGTGAAGTACATACATATGCTGCTTGCTTCAAGCTAAAAGCTTCTCACGTCACGCCTTAGGGTTTCGTTCACCGCTCAAGAGGTGGAACTCGGAACCTGTTTTGTTCATGAGGCAATGGTCACGGTTCAGGGATCAGGATTTAGGGTCTGGGGTTTAAGGCATTGTGCTAAAAATTGTAAAGCTCGTGCAGAATGCCAGGACAAAGACAGGCGCAAGCAGGAATCTTGCAGAACCTTCAGCGTGCGGAGATGTGGTTGTATATAGTTTGGGGACGCTAAGAAATGATGAGTAATATGGTTAATTCGACAGGCTTCTATATTCTTTATGAGTTGAGATGATATAAGCAAATGTCCTGAACCCAAGTGCAGGGAAGCATGTCTGGGTGGGTGTGACTTGCACCATAGACATCAATAAACTCATTCCACCCCTAAACCCCTAAACCCTAACGCCTAAGACCCTAAACCCTAAACCCTTAAGCCTGAGACCCTGCAACTCGAAAGCTTCCCCCACCCTAAACCCAAAGCCGTAAGACTTTAACAGCCGGAACCCCAGAGCGTAGGCTCCAAACACTGAAGGTTGGTTTCTTCGTAGCAGCCTGCTTCAATTAAAAAACATGTGAAGAAGGGTACTCGGACATCAACTCTTCCAGATATGCATCATATGGCATATACACAACACTTGCAGGGTTCTTTCAGACTCTCTTGAATCATAGGTTCGCGAAGACACCCTAAACCCTAACCCCAAACCCCAACACCAAAGGGGCTCCGGCGCCACTGGACCACTTGGGTGGGAACCGAACAGCCATTCCCTGTGGGCCTCGAGGTTAACCTTTGGGAATATATACAGATTATACGGGGATTAAAGTACCCCCAAAAGCCCTAAACCCTAAACCCTAAACCCTAAACCCTAAACCGTTTCAGATGGGGAAGGTCATTAGTTCTCACGTCCCTCGGAAGCTTGAAACCCAGGAGTGGTATTAGCAGAGGCCTTGATATGCTTACCCTAAGGGTCCATGTACTCATATAGTATATACATTGGCCTTAATGTAGTCCCTATATAGGTACTTTAGGGCCCATGTATATACTATATGAAGTACATGGACCCTTAGGGTTATTGAAGGGCTCTAGGGGAAATATTTATCATTATTTGGACCCCTGCATTACCACCAAAGCCCTAAACCCTACAGCGTGAAACCCCAAACCAATCCTAACCAATGGGATCCCATTCCCAATCGCTAAGCCCAAACTTTGAACTCTGAGCCACGAACCCTAAACGCTTAACGCCCTGAGGCGAACCCTCAACCCTTAAACCCTAAACCCTGACCCGAAATCCTAAATCCTAAACAACAAAACAAACGAATGCCCAAGGTGCAGCTCGCCAACTTGGAGCCAGTCTTCGTAGATGTACATGTCGCTCCTTATTCCCGGGGTTCGGGTCCTTAAGGTGTTTGGACTTACAGGATTTGCGTATAACCCTAAACTCTGAACCCTAAACACGAAACCGTAGGGTTTAAGGCTTTCGGGGGTCTAGGATTGAAGGGTTGAAAGGTTCAGGGTGTAGGCTTTTAAGGCTCTGGCTTCCAACTTCATGCTCACGGAGTTCAAGTTACTTGGCTGATGGATTTACATACAGTTTTGGCTAACAAAGCTAGGAAATAGAAGATAAAGTCGGTTCGGGTTTGCAGGTTTTAGAGCTGAGTAAGTATAGGGCTCACTCTCTCTGGAGCCCATTTGTCCATGGACAATGTCTTTAGGGTTTAGGGTTTAGGGTTTAGGGTTTAGGGTCTTCACCATACTTAAGATCCCAAAACCCAGCTCAAATACCCTAAATCCTAAACGTTACAGCCCAAACCCTAAACTGCCTGAAGCCGAAACATGCAATCTTACATCCTACGCTTGAAACCAAACCCTAACCCCTCAACCCCACGCTGAACCCGATCCCTGCAACTGCAACCTGAGTCCTCAAAGAAGCGTCGCCGGCTTATTACTGTAATAAAGGGGCCTTAATAATCAGAAAAGGGATTGATTGGGTGTGTTATACTGTAATATAATAAGGAACCCCAACCCCAAACCTTCCCCTTTCTGAGCCCCTAAACCCCTAATCCCCTAATCTTACATGGGTGACAATGCCAAACTTCTCAGAGATGATGGCCGACTGAAAGAGGCCAAGATCCTCAGCATCCGGGTCAGAAAAAGCAGCCCAGAAACAATTCGGTTGGTTTAGGGTTTAGGGTTTAGGGTTTAGGGTCTAGGGTTTGGGGTTACTGAAAGTTCCTCTTATCATGATATATCCTTGATGTGTACCCAATAGGTGTAACCCCATTCTAATTATTTAAGGCCCCGATATGTCAGCGTGCAATTAGGATTTGTGTCGATGCCCGTTTGGGCTTGGATGGCTTGGGATTCTGATACCTTCCTAATCCCTAAACCTTAACGCCTAAACCTTCGGGTCCTTACAACAAGGATCTAAGAACTCCGGTGTTCCATACATTCTTGCCTGCTGTGTCCTTAGAACAAGACTTCTTAGAATTTAGGTAGACCTTCATTTGTTGGCCCTGGTCATCAGAATCAGGGGCGTATGCCTTGCTCGGGGATTCTTTTTCAATAAACTCTAAACCCCAAACCCCTAGACCCTAAACCCCAAACCCCTACACCCTAAAACCCTAAACCCCAAACCCCTAAACCCCTAAACCCTAAACCGGTACACC